TCCCAGCTTCTTGTGCACCTCCAGCCTCCTCAGTCGGTAGAGCATGGGAAGCTGGAAAGTCCTTGGCTAGTGTAAGCACTACTCACAACAACTAAAACATCAGTGTGTTATCAACATTATTCTCATCCTAAATCCAAACCACAGCACTGTACCAGCTACTAGGAAGGAAATTAACTCTGTCCCAGCCGAAACCAGGACAACCAGTCACAAATTATGAGTGACTGGTAGCATCACTTGTTATCAGTCATCGATAACGACACTGAGCTAGACCTGGGTAACAGTACAGGGACTTCACATCCAAAGGCCATGAAAATGTTGTTGACTTCTGTGACACAGCATTTAGCTAATGACTTCAGACCAGAAGTTTCATCTTACCCTGCGATCACCCCTTTGGGCGCTGAGAAAACTCAAAGAGCCACACAAAGTTTCTAGGGGTTGCCACAGTTAAGGTAATAGACTATGTCAAATCCCATGACAAGCAGAAATCAATTTAGGCAACACCTAAATGCCACTTTGCCTACTTCCATCTGTATTTTTAGGAGCATTAATGCAGTGTGAATGCTCCAGAAAGGGGTCTATTTCAAAGGCATAGCAAGGCACCAATTTCACTGTAATGTGGCACCTTCCAGAGCCCCTGAGGTCTCTCCACGGGAGCCTGGACTCCGCAAAGACATACAGCTGAGCACTGCCAATGCCAAAGCCACACCATCCTGCTTCCCTGCCCTGCAACCCTTTCGCACGCCACCTCATCCACCGAGCCAGAGGGGTGAAGAATGAGATATGCAGGTGTCGCAGACAGCGCTGCTGTGGGAAGCTGCAGCCACACAGCAAAGCATCCTCTAAGCAGAAGAAAGTAAAGTCTCTCCCCAGGGGACTGCGGCTGGTCATCCTCCTCACTCAGCAGCCTGACAGATGGGCATCAATTCATCCCACAAGCCAGCATTTCTCTGCAGCAAAACTAGGCAAATACAGGGATTTTACCATTAACTGTACCTGCATGATCTCATCACACTCCCTTTCTATCAGGGACGTGTTTATGTAGGGTATGAGTGCTACCGGATCAATTTCTAGCCCTGATGCTTCTATCCGCTTCAACAGCTCTCTGTGCAACTCCAATTTTTCAGTTTGCTGAAGTCCCAGTTTTCAATTACTTCTGCCAGTCCAGTGTAACCTTTCAGAAAAAAAGACAAATTGTTGCTATGAATCCAATCTCTAGCTAGAATAGGTAGGAACAAGCTAAAAAACACTTTCTTAGCCACACTGGAGAAATTAAAATTATTTTGAGCTGTAACTGACTAAAATCTAGGTGAACCACAAACAATTTTTATAGACTGACTGGTTTCCTTTACAGCACTTGTATGTATAATGTGAAAAACCTTATGCTAAAAGAGCAGTAACACTTGCAAAGAGGAAAAAGAGCTACACAATGTCACAACTCACATCACCGAAGCAACCATAACAACCTTCCTTTGATCCACACAATCCTTGGATCCCTGCAGTCCATGATACTCTTCCACAGGATTTCCCAGAGCACAGGACACTGCTCAGAATCACAAACACCTTTGGTGTCCTTTTGTTTTATTTACCAGCCCCTTACATTTTAGTCCTGTCCTTGGCTCCACCCTCCTTCAAAAACCCTTGTCATATTGGATTTGAGTCAGGCTCTGACTGAGAGCAACCCAGACACCTGCAGCCTAGACAGTCAGAAAACAGCTGAAAATACTGTCCTGGAACAGACAGTGGCAGGGAATCATATTTAGAGGACTTGTGTGGTTTGCTGTGTAGGTTCAAGAGGTGGAAGAAAGCACATCAGGGCCCCAGAGGAACTGTGGACAAACAGAAGGAATTTGCCTAACATTTTATTTTCTTTTGGAGGAGCAGGAGAGAAGTGTGGATGCTTACCACCACAATATCTTTAATCTAATTATCACCTATCTCTGCATCTGCCAAATACAAGAGTAATGCTATATTCTAATTTCAGGCCAAATTAATAAGTACTTGGGATAGCACTTGGAGTCAGCAGGTTAACTTTTTCTGTTTCCCGCTGAAGATGAACCAAACGGAATGCTGTCAACATGTTCAAAGAAGATATTTTTGCAATTCAGAAATTAGGACTATCACAGGCTGGTAAAAAGTTGCTCTGGCATGGAAACAAAAGTGGCTTATGGCATGAGATTTTGGGGTTTGAGATATCTACAAATCGCCAAGAATCTATGACAGAACCTACATGTATAGAGAAAAGCTGGCAAATCCTGGTAATTCTGTCACATTTTGGACAGGAAATTGCAATAGGACCTCACACATCAAGCAGTCATAGCTACTGAGGAACAATCATCTAATTTATAAACTATTAATGGTTACTTACTTCTCAAAACATAAGACTTTCAAGACCTCTGAATAATTTTTAAAACTTAGTTTCTAATTTAAGACTCTGTCCTTGAATGAAGCTATCCCATGCTACCAGTTAACCCCCACGCACATCCTGAAACCCATTTGGCTTTCTCTTTCAGAGGATTTAGCTTCCTTTAATTATATTTTGTGAGAACAATGGCCGTCTTATTTCTTCTCTAAACGCTCCGAGACAGACAAGGCTCCTCTCAATGAGGCTTTATTCTGCATCCCTTCACCTTTCATTGGCTTTCTCCATCATCGAAATTGTTCCAGCTGCTTCTCAGACGGGCGTTTCCCCGTGCCTTCGAAGAGTTTTATTTCCAGCCTCCGTCAACCTACTTTCTCCTACCGCATCTCATCTGATGTGACAAGACCCGGCAGCAGAAGCCCAAGGATAACGGAGCGGTGCTTCACATCCCGGGTGCGCTGGGCTGCTCTGCCCAGCTGAGCGCGGGCGGCGGCTGTGGCTCCGGCAGAGAAAGGGAGGAGCGGAGGAGACCGCTTGCGAGTGGGAACCGGCCTGCTGCAACCAGGGCGTCCAGGAAGCCCCTCCGCCTCCAGCTGCAGGATGGCCTCCAGAAACAGGGCG